AGAGTGAATACCTGATAGAGGAGTACCACATCTACCTGCTGCGGACGGGGCGCATCAACGTGTGCGGCCTCAACCCCGGCAACGTGCAGTACGTGGCGCGCGCCGTGCACGACGCCGTCACCAAGTTCCCGCAAGGACAGTGAGTGGCGCCGCCCGCTTTGTCACGTCTCATTCTACACTACAGATAATGACCGAAATTCATGTCTATGCGAGAGCAATACTGCAGTTATTTGAAACTATTTTGATTTGACCCTCGTCTGTTTCAACTTATCCGTACCAATGTTTCAACATATTTGTACCGATGTTCATCATAATTGTATGATGAACGTTGGTACAAATATGTTGAATATGTTGTACATCAGTACAATATGTTTCAACGTATCTGTACCAATTTTTCAACATATATGTACAGATGTTTCAATATAACTGTACCGATGTTTCAACTGATTTGTACCGATGTCCATCACTTTTATAGAGAAGTTTCAACATATCTGTACCGATGTTTCAACATATTTGTACCGAAGTTGTAATGTTTCTATACTTCCATTACTTATATTTACAGAATGAAAAAAAAATGTCGCAGTATTACACTCGCATTGATCGGTCATTTAGCTTATAAAGTTGAAACTACCAATATTTTATAGAATGTAATATGTTTGCGAACGAATTAGAAAAATGTCTATGAGGTTTTTTGGCAGCTTTTATTTATAAATCGTTCGCGCTTTCAAACTCTATTTATTAAACTTATATAGCTTAGTAAATATAAGAATATTCAATGTCATATTTATCCATAGTTTTCGAATATAATACTAAAAAAGAAAATTTTATTAATATGTTAATATGAGTAAAAATTTTAATATTTATTATATTGAGATTCTAGTTTAATTGCACGTTTTGTGCACAAAAATCACAAATTAGAGTTATTTATTGAAGGAATTTAAAAATATCACTGCCGCTGAAAATTATTGGCAGATGTCATAATAAGTAGAAATGTATGTGATGTGAATATTTATATGCTGTGTCCAGTATTACGAGCTTTTATTTCAAAACTAGAACAAACTGATGAACACAAAAATATAGCATTTAGTGTTTGAACATTCTCCAAATGTTTTGTATGCTTTCAAATATAATCTCATTTGTTATCAATTTTGTTTTTATTTTTAAACTAGCTGGGTAAAAAAGTAGCCTATATTATCTGTCTAGGTCAGGTACCTTTCAATGAAAGTCTGGTCGAAATCGGTCCAGCCGTTTCGGAGATTA